TTACGTTGTATGTATATCAACTTCACTTTTTTTTCCTTCGGTTTACCATTAACATTTTAATGTAGTTGTTTGTTTGAGAGACTCATGCTTTCACGGATGCAATGTACTTCGATTTCGTAAATTAAAAAAAAAAATAAATTTGCTACAAAATCCACACAATTCGTTAAATTTCTGTTATGTTACACAAAAAAAATTTTACCGTAATCTTTTTTGCATTTATAGTCAATTTAATTTAATGTAGAAAAAGAGGAGTCAACGCTGAGTCAAGAAACTTCGCCGGCGTGGATTAATTAAAATCCTCATTAAGACGCGGTCATAGATAATAGATAACGGAACACAGTATTAGCGACGCTATGGACGTTCTATCGATCTGTACCGCTAATCGATCGGTACGATTTTTTCCACTTTCTAAATGCGCGAGTCCGTTCTGAGTCCGGACACCGCATGGAATTTTGTGATTAGCTCGGCCGTTTTTGTCAACGTCACGTTGGCAATAATGTTCGTTGGCGCGTAGAATTATTGCCTCATCGATGCCGTTGTAGGTTCGCGCTTGTCTCGGACCGCTCTTTTGTGACTCGGAGCGATCGCCAATACTCTTATCCCCTTGAGTTGCAAGCCAGAGCTGTTCAGCTTCTTTTCGCAACAAAGAACAAAGAAATTCTCTCGTATTCCCTTCCCCCTCTTTCTTTTGTTTTTTCACTCATTTGCTTTTTTTCATTTGCATCGCAGATTGCAAACGATGCTTGTACGCGATCACGTCAATCGCGCTTCTAGAATTTTGGAAACGTTACCGCAACGACAAGAACCGATCTTTTGCCTTTCCAACGCAAAATCAATATTATGCTTTGATATATCAAATTTTTAATCTATTTATTGTTTTTCTATACTCTCTATTGTCTTCTCTCTATGGCTCTTTTAACTATTTTTTCCGTGTTCTTTATTATTAAGGTGAAAAAATCTTGGCTTCTGATCGCGTACGTCATACGACGTAAATATTAATAACTTTTTACAATCCTGTTGATTAAGACGTACTCTTTTTGCGATTAAATAAGCTGTAAAACACGAGAAACGATGCATTTTTTACTTGTTGATGTAAAATTAATGGACGGAATATATAAAAGAGTTAAAGATTACGATAGAACTTTGTAAAGTTATTCGTTTCTACCTCTGCATTAACTTTTTCATCAACTAGAAAACTGATGTGTAGATTACGACGTTTATAATACTTATTTAAACACAACAATAATCAACTTTAAAGAATACAAATAAATTTGTAACTTAAGCAATGTAAACAGGAATAAAGTTAATTTTTTATTTTATTGAAGCATGAACTAGCGTGTTATTCAAGTTTCTTCCGCGATATCTTTACGCAATAATGTTATCGCCTTGGCATGCAAGCTTACGCGTAACAGACATTCGCATTTATAACGCAAGAATGTGAAAAGATAACTATAAATAATTTTATTACCTGATTTATTTGCTAACGATGACAAATGATTGTTAATTTTGTTTAGAAAAAATATAAAAATTAGTGTAAATTTTGATTTTGTGTGAATAGAATTTTGCATTAACCAAATTTATAATTTGCTCAATTTTGCATAATACAAATTAATGACAATATTATTATTATTATTTTACTGAAATAACTTAATCAAAAACGATTTTATTAAAATGATAACTGTTATTACGTCAAATTACAACAGCGTTTGCTCGTTTTCTTTGACGATTCAACGATGAAAGTTTCGGTAGTATACGCGCGAACATTGTTCAGTTAGACAGACTTGAATGGAATCGAATAGAGTACGATAATACTCATATCAAGTGGGCGTCGAGAATCGATTCAAACAATCGTAGCATATGCACCGGCAAAGTTCAGTCTTCATTAATTCAACGCGAGATCGTTCATCAATTAACTTACCTAGTCATTGAAGGATAGTTGAGCTTTTCTTCAATTTGTAACATTTATTTTTTGGTTTAAAAATATATGTTAGCAATATTAAATTAAATGATAAAGATTATAAATAGTTATTTGAATGTATATAAAAAATAAAGATTTGTAAGGATTATTGATCTTCAGTTATAGGAAGAAAATTATTCGCTTAGACTTATTAGGTTTTTATAATTAAAAAGATTGTATTCTTTTTAAAAAGAATTAGACCCAACACACAATAGAAAATATTAGAAATAGGAATAAATATTAAATATTAGAAAGAACAATTTAGAATTATTTTACTTCAGACAAGGAAACGGAATAGATTAATTATTTCTAATTCTTATTTCCTAATTTATGATGATTAATCCATTTCATTTTCTTGAAATAAAATAATTCCAATTTTCTATTCCTAATATTTCTTCTACGTGTGTTAGGCCTTACTATATTGAACAATTGCGAATTATAGGATAAGGCGTAATCTAGCGTCTTGAAGAAGAAAGGACATTGAGCGTTGCAATGCGTCTTGCCTTACAGATCTTATTTGTCGTCGATAAAGGAAGTTTCTGCCATTTGCAATCTTTTATAATTTAAAAATAAGCAACTAAATAAATTGTATTAATTGATTATTCATTTCTATTTATTGCGAATTTTGTAATTTATGTATAACTATCTGATATCTATATCAAATTTTAATTTTCTAAAAGCATGCGATACAGAGTGCAGCACAAGCTGATAGAGCATGCACTGAGGAAATACTATTCCTTTATCGCAGTTGATTTTTCATAAAAATATCCAAACAAGTTACATGTTTTGCCAAAAATAAGTTTTCAATTTGATTCGATTTATTTTGTAATTGTCTTTATCTATTGCGTAATTTTATTATTTCAAAAAAATAGTATTATTTCATTATTTTACTTACTTGTATTATTCTTAGCTGTCAAATCTGACGTAAAAAACATATTAAAATTATAATATTTATGAAATCTTATTGAGTTATAGGAATATAAGGCAAAGGAAAATCGACAGGTGACATTATCGCTTAGGTAATCAACTTGAAGTGTAATATTTTAATAGTAATTATAATGAAGTTACAGGATGCTTTTATACAGTATGTATAGATAGACAGCGTCATAATATAGTTTTCCTTAAGTAATTCATTCAATATATTTATGTTTAATCATTTCGTACGTTTATTGTCGTCTATAATGAAAGAGAGATAGAAATAGAGAGACGGAGAGATAGAGACAGAGATATGTAGAACGTGTATTCGTAAAACCTTTACGTGAAAAACAAGTGAAGCCCCAACTTGGTGATTACAAACGAACGATATATATTCTTTGTTTCTTTTTTTTTTTTATTAATCGCGAGCGTGGTACACATGTATATGCGTATGCTGTGCTTTATTTCTCATCGTTATTAATCTCCTCGCTACCGATGACAAGTTCGAAATACACATTTTACAATGTTAACATTCCTACCGGATGAAGCGCGAGGAACATATTTTCGTTTACATAACTTTTTCGCGTCCCGCTTACTACAAGATAAACTTCTAGAATCGTATTTATATATATATTAAAAATCGCAGAAAATTTTTCTTTCTTTTATCTTTACAAATGTTATATTACCTAATAGAAATTTGTACAGTTTT